CTCACGGCTACGGAAGCCTGGGATGTGTAGTTTTGCAAAGAGGGAAACTACAAATCCCAAGCCCTGGCTCAACACTACGGGAATTGCCGTAGCTCAAGGCTACGGAGTTCTCCGCTGTCGAATGGAACACAGTTTGACCCCCACTGCTTTGGCTCAAGGCTACGGGAGCCTGGGATGTGTAGTTTTGCAAAGACGGAAACTACAAATCCCAAGCCCTGGCTCAACACTATGGGAATTGCCGTAGCTCACGGCTACGGAGTTCTCCGGTGTCGAATGGAACACAGTTTGACCCCGCTGCTTTGGCTCACGGCTTCAGAAGCCTGGGATGTGTAGTTTTGCAAAGAAGGAAACTACAGATCCCAAGCCCCGGCTCAAGGCTATGAGAATTGCCTTGGCTCAAGGCTATGGAGCCCTTGGAGTTCTCTACACTATCGAATGGAAGACAGTTTGACCCCATTGGAACTGCTGTGGCTCGATGCAATGGAAGCCTGGGACTTGTAGTTTCTATAGTGCAGAGGAGGTATCCTTTGGGATCTGTAGTTTTGCAAAGCCCTTCGCCTTCTCTGCCTCTGCCCTTTGAACTGCCTTGGCTCAAGGCTAGGGGAGTTGTCATTTGACGCTCTTGGGATTTGTAGTTTTGTTTGGGACTTGCAGTTTCCCTATTTGCAAAACTACAAATCCCAAGTCCTGGCTCAAGACGACAGGAACTGCCTTGGCTCAAGGCTACGGAACCCTGGGAGTTCTCTACACTGTCGAATGGAACACAGTTTGACCCCACTAGAACTGCTTTGGCTCGATGCTATGGAAGCCTGGGATTTGTAGTTTCTACAGTGCAGAGGAGGTATCCTTTGGGATTTGTAGTTTTGCAAAGCCCTTCGCCTTCTCTGCCCTTTGAACTGCCTTGGCTCAAGGCTACGGAGTTGTTGTTGGACGCTCTTGGGATTTGTAGTTTCCCTATTTCCAAAACTACAAATCCCAAGAGTGTCAAACGACAACTCCCGTAGCCTTGAACCAAAGCAGCTCAGAAGGGCAGAGGAAGAGAAGGGAAAGGACTTTGCAAAACTACAGATCTCAAAGGATGCCTCCCCTGCACTGTAGAAACTACAAATCCCAAGCTTCCATAGCATCGAGCCAAAGCAGTACGACTGGGATCAAACTGTGCCCATTCGACAGTGTAGACGGACTCAGCTGAACATATATATTTCTTTTTGAATGGTCAATATGTTTTGCAAAGCATGTCTATGTCTAATAGGTCTGATTAGATTCAAAATGCAAAATAGATATACAAGTGGTATATTAATAATAAAATAATAATAATAATAATAATAAAGTAATGATGATGTTGATGATGATGATGATAAATCTATCTAAAATAAATATACAAGTGGTATATTAATAATATAATATTATAATATTATAATAATAAAAATAAATAATAAATAATATTATAATAAATAATAATAAATATCATAAATATAATTATATTGTAATAACAAATATAATAAATGTAATTATACTAGTATTATAAATATAATGTGAAATAATATAATAAATATAATAATTATCAATATGAAAATAATAAATATAATAAATATAATTATACTATTATAATAAATATATATATATTATAATAAATAATAATGTGGTATATTAATAATAATAAAATAATATAATATGATAATAATAAAGTAATAATAATGATGATAATAAATCTATATATCTAAAAATAAATATACAAGTGGTATATTAATAATATAATAATATAATATTATAATAAATAACAAATAACATTATAAATAAATATATATATATTATAATAAATAATAATGTGGTATATTAATAATAATAAAATAATATAATATGATAATAATAAAGTAATAATAATGATGATAATAAATCTATATATCTAAAAATAAATATACAAGTGGTATATTAATAATATAATAATATAATATTATAATAAATAACAAATAACATTATAAATAAATATATATATATTATAATAAATAATAATGTGGTATATTAATAATAATAAAATAATATAATATGATAATAATAAAGTAATAATAATGATGATAATAAATCTATCTATCTAAAAATAAATATACAAGTGGTATATTAATAATAATATATGATAATATGATAATAATAAAGTAATAATGATGATAATAATAAATCTATCTAAAAATAAATATACAAGTGGTATATTAATAATAAAATAATAATATAATAATATATTATAATAAAGTAATGATGAAGATGATTATAATAAATCTATCTAAAAATAAATATTCAAGTGGTATATTAATAATATAATAATATAATATGATAATAATGATGATGATGATGATGATGATGATGATGATGATAATAATAATAAATCAAGATAAAGGTAAATTGCCTTGTTTTAATGAAGATCGAAAGCTAGATAGATGGTCTTGTCAACTGATTGACTCATCTCCCTTTTGGATTGGCTTCCACCCAAAACGATGTATTTGTATTTTGTCTTTGAGATTCAGTGAAAACACAAGGAGATATTTCCATTTTATTAGAAAATCTAAACTGTTCCAAGAGCAAGCAAGTATGGGGTATGAATGGGCAGGAGGGCAACCGTGGGGTCCAGAAGATGACCAATGTCCGTGCCATGGCCATTTCGGATGCCCAGTCCCGAGTTAGAAGGCAACCACAGTCCACCAATAGACCAATCTTTGGAGCCCCGCAAGTACATCTGAACCAGATTTGGGAGGACAACTGATGTCCGTGGTGGAAACGGGGTCCTCAAGATGGTATTGTCTTGGGAGTTCAGTCCTGGATGCACCTCAAGGTCCTCAAACCGAGAACCTGAGAAGATGTCCTTCCATTTGGAAACTTGGGGGCTCAGCCAGGATAGGCAGGTCACACCAAATGGTCAACCACGAGTGCTGCTGACCCGTTCGCCCAGCAACCAATAGGTCCGGAGTTTCCCTTTGCCCTGCAAGGAGAAAAAGAAGACGTGGTCACTTCTGCGGCTCCCAAGTCCTCCTGGGATTCACATATTTTTCCAATTTGAGGATATTTTCTCCGCAAAGACAAGACCAGATCATGAAGACCATGTTCGTATTTGAACATGGTCTTCATGATCTGGTCTTGTCTTTGCGGAGATCATCAGTGTTGTTGTAACTGGGTCAGATTCTGAGTGCTCAGAAGGTGAAGAAGGGGATGCTGGAAAAGATTCAAGGAGTCCGGAGGAGGATAGAAATGGCCTGGATGGAGTTGTTTTGGAATCTGACCGTTCCCACAAGACTGGAGAAAGCGATATCAGTTCTCATGAAAACCTGCCAGAAGTGTAGGCTGAGAGAAATGTGGGAATGTTTGCCTAGGTCAGTGGTTCTCAACCTGTGAGTCCCCAGGTGTTTTGGCCTACAACTCCCAGAAATCCCAGCCAGTTTATTAGTTGTTAGGATTTCTGGGAGTTGAAGGCCAAAACATCTGGGGACCCACAGGTTGAGAACCACTGGTCTAGGTCAAGGTGCTTGGAGACAGGTCATGCAACAAAGACAGACTCACTTTTCTCAAAGGCTTAGGGATAAGGAGAGGAAAAGCAGGTGTGTGCGAAATGATGTTATGGGAGGGATTGAGCCTTTTTAAATTGGTTCCTGCTGGGACAATCCTTTGTGAGATCAACATTGTACTCAGGTGAACAGCTCTTTTGGTCCAAGGTTCTTGGAACTCAAGTATTCAAAGTTTGCTCTTGCTTCTAGTTCATATGTGGCCTGTCTTGGATTCATGCTATCTTGAGAGAAATGTGGGAATGTTTGACTAGGTCAAGGCACTTGTAAGTGCAGAGACAAGGCATGCAACAAAGACTCGCTTTTCTCAAAGATGTAGAGATAAGGAGAGGAAAAGCAGGTGTGTGCGAAACGACGTTATGGGAGGGATTGAGCCTTTTTAAATTGGTTCCTGCTGGGACAATCCTTTGTGAGAACAATGTTGCATTCAGGTAAACAGCTCTCAGTTTTTGGTCCAAGGTTCTTGGAACTCAAGTATTCAAATTTCAAAGTGTGTTCTTGCTTCTAGTTCATGTGTGGCCTGTCTTGGATTCATGCTATCTTGAGAGAAATGTGGGAATGTTTGACTAGGTCAAGGCGCTTGGAAGTGCAGAGACAGGGCATGCAACAAAGACAGACTCGCTTTTCCCAAAGACTTAGAGATAAGGAGAGGAAAAGCAGGTGTGTGCAAAATGACGTTATGGGAGGGATTGAGCCTTTTAAAATTTGTTCCTGCTGGGACAATCCTTTGTGAGAACAACGTTGTATTCAGGTGAACAGCTCTTTTGGTCCAAGGTTCTTGGAACTCATGTATTCAAATTCCTAAGTTTGTTCTTGCTTCTAGTTCATGTGTGGCCTGTCTTGGATTCATGCTACCTTGAGAGAAATGTGGGAATGTTTGACTAGGTCAAGGTGCTTGGAAGTGCAGAGATAGGTCATGTAACAAAGACCAATTTGCTTTTCCCAAAGGCTTTGGGATAAGGAGAGGAAGAGCAGGTGTGTGCGAAATGATGTTATGGGAGGGATTGAGCCTTTTTAAATTGGTTCCTGCTGGGACAATCCTTTGTGAGAACAATGATGCATTCAGGTGAACAGCCCTCAGGTTTTTGGAACTCAAGTATTCAAATTTCTAAGTTTGTTCTTGCTTCTAGTTCATGCGTGGCCTGTCTTGGATTCATGCTATCTTGAGAGAAATGTGGGAATGTTTGACTAGGTCAACACGCTTGGAAGTGCAGAGACAGGTCGTGCAACAAAGACAGACTCGCTTTTCCCAAAGACTTAGAGATAAGGAGAGGAAAAGCAGGTGTGTGTAAAACGATGTTATGGGAGGGATTGAGCCTTTTTAAATTCGTTCCTGCTAGGACAATCCTTTGTGAGATCAACGTTGTATTCAGGTGAACAGCTGTTTTGGTCCAAGGTTCTTGGAACTCAAGTATTCAAATTTCTAAGTTTGTTCTTGCTTCTAGTTCATGTGTGGCCTGTCTTGGATTCATGCTACCTTGAGAGAAATGTGGGAATGTTTGACTAGGTCAAGGTGCTTGGAAGTGCAGAAACAGGTCATGCAACAAAGACAAATTTGCTTTTCCCAAAGGCTTAGAGATAAGGAAAGAAAGAGCAAGTGTGTGCGAAATGATGTTATGGGAGGGATTGAGCCTTTTTAAATTGGACAATCCTTTGTGAGAACAACGTTGCATTCAGGTAAACAGCTCTCAGTTTTTGGTCCAAGGTTCTTGGAACTCAAGTATTCAAATTTCTAAGTTTGTTCTTGCTTCTAGTTGAGACTTCTCCCCCGCGAACAGCGCTGGCAAAATTGCAAGAGTGCAGCCCATTCCCAAAACCCGTATCTAATGCTCACCTTCTTCGCTCGACATTCTCAGCTCGTTCAGCACAATGCAGCATAAGCACATGGTTTAATTTCCCCCTTGTTTTGATGTCGCAACTAAGCATAACGCAAAGTGCGACTTCGACACTTACCTTCATCTCCACATCGCCCCGGAGCTCCAATTCGAAGCATCCGAACTCCTCCAGAATGGATTTGGTGGTGCCCGACAAATGGATCTTCAGAGCTGGAAGGTCCAGATGATCGTTAGCGCCTTTGCATAATTGATCGCTGATTTCCCGTATTTGCTTGAATCTAATGCTCACCTTCTTGAGACTAAATGACCTTACCAAAATTGGGGTGCGCATTAGATTCGTGCTGAACCAAAGCAGAAGGGGAAGCTGCTTCAGGAGCTCCTCTTTGAGGGACCTCATCTCTAACGAAATGGTCGTGACTTAATGCTATGCCATCCTGGGATGTGTAGTTTGGTGAGGCATCCACATCCTTTGGCAAAGAAGGCTCAAAACCTTGTCAAACTACAATTCCCAGGACTCCATAGCATTGAGCTACTGGAGGTAGTCCAAGCCCAGCTTGCTCCCATTGATGGACACCAAATGGCAAAGACACCCAACTAATGTCCAACTGACCTTCTCCATTGGATTCCATGCGTGAGGCTGTGTTGACCGTATCCCCAAAGAGGCAATAGCGAGGCATCTTCAGGCCCACAACCCCTGCGCAGACTGGACCTTGGGGAGGAGAACATGGAAAGATGGACGACCCATTACAACTTGTGAGTAGGAAGGGGCCAAAATTAGATAGATTAAGCCTCTTGGGCCACAGATAGGTTCTCACTTTCCAACAATAATTAATTAGGATTGTTGTGGTTGTGTGCCTTCAAGTCGTTTCAGGCTCTGGGAAACTCTCTCACTATATGACTTCTCCAACTGAGATGTTGGACCAGGTATTATCACAAATGGTGTGAAATCTGGACAAATGAAGCTACCCTGTACCCATCAACCTTCTTTCCTTCCTCCCATACGCATCTCCACACATCCAAGGTCATTCCAATGTCTCACCACTGTGAATCCCGATCCGGAGTTTGAGCTGCTGATCTGGCCGGTGGTGGATTTTGAAGTTGCGGACGGCCTCCAGGAGTGCCAGGGACATGCGCGACACCTCACGGGCATGCAACCGGCCATTGCGAACAGGCAGGCCCGACACTACCATGTAGGCATCTCCAATGGTTTCTACCTAGAGAGGGATGATGGCACAGAGGTGGACATACTGTGGAGTGGGTTAGCACCATGCTTGAACAATCGTCCTCCTTCCGTTGATGTTCTGGCTCCATGACCCAACCATGCCATGGATTTCTCACCTCGGAAACATCAACATTATCTATGATGACATCCAAGGCCCAACTTACAGATCTTCCTTGTCAACCAAGCCATGGACTTCTCATCTTGTAGATGTCATGAAGGCATCCATGACCCAACCTACAGATCTTCCCTGTCAACTTAGCCATGGACTTCTCATCTTGTAAACATTGAGATTATCTATGAAGGCATACATGATCCAACCTACAGATCTTCCTTGTCAACCAAGCCATGGACTTCTCATCTTGTAGATGTCGTGAACCCTAACCCTAACCCTAACCCTGACACAACCTATAGATCTTACCTGTCAACTAAGCCATGGACTTCTCATCTTGTAAACACTGAGATTATCTATGAAGGCATCCATGATCCAACCTACAGATCTTCCATGTCAACCAAGCCATGGACTTCTCATCTTGTAGATGCCATGAAAGCATCCATGACCCAACCTACTGATCTTCCCTGTCAACTTAGCCATGGACTTCTCATCTTGTAAACATTGAGTTTATCTATGAAGGCATCCATTATCCTACCTACAGATCTTCCTTGTCAACCAAGTCATGGACTTCTCATCTAGTAGATGCCATGAAAGCATCCATGACCCAACCTACAGATCTTCCCTGTCAACTTAGCCATGGACTTCTCATCTTGTAAACATTGAGATTATCTATGAAGGCATCCATGACCCAACCAACATATCTTCCCAGTCAACTAAGCCATGGACTTCTCGTCCTGTAAACATTGAGATTATCTATGAAGGCATCCATGATCCAACCTACAGATCTTCCCTGTCAACCACGCCATGGATTTCTCCTCTTGTAGATGTCAAAGTAATCTATGAAGGCATCCGTGACCGAACCTACAGATCTTCCCTGTCGATCAGGCCAAGGACTTCTCATGTAAACATTGAAGTTATCTATGGCGGCATCAATGACCCAAACTATGGATCTTCCCTGTCAACCAAGCCATGGACTTCTCACCTTGTAAACATCAAGGTTATTTATGAAGGCATCCATGACCCAACCTACAGATCTTCTCCATTGACCAAGCCATGGACTTCTCACCTTGTAAACACTGAGATTATCTTTGATGGCATCTATAACCCAATTTATAGATCCTCCTTCTGTTGATGTTCTGGCTCCATGACCCAACCATGCCATGGACTTCTTACCTTGTAAAAATCAAGGTTATTTATGAAGGCATCCATGACCCAACCTACAGATCTTCTCCATTGACCAAGCCATGGACTTCTCACCTTGTAAACACTGAGATTATCTTTGATGGCATCCATAACCCAATTTATAGATTTTTCTCTCTCAACCTTCTTTTGCCAACCAAGCCATAGGCTTCTCATCTTCTAGGAAATGAAATTATCTATGAAGGCATCCATGATCCAATGTACAGATCCTCCCTGTCAACCAAGACATGAACTTCTCATCTTGTAGACGTCAAAATAATCTATGAAGGCATCCATTGATCCAACCCACAGATCTTCCCTGTCAACCATCAGCTTCTTGCCTTGTAAAAATTGAGGTTATCTATGATGGTATCCATGACCCAACCTACAGATTTTCCCTCTCAACCTTCCTTTGCCAACCAAGCCATGGACCTCGTCTTCTAGACAATGAAATTATCTATGAAGACATCCATGACCCAACCTAAGGATTTCCCCATTGGCTTCTCACCTTGTAGACATCGAAGTTATCTATGATGGCATCAAAGCAGGTATAGAGGTCATTGAGAAGAGCCACCACCTGAAAAAAAGATCATCTCAAGAAGTTCAGTGTTGAAGGCCTCAGAGTTCTGGCAGAATAGGACAGTATGGCGTCCTCTGGGCTTTGACATCCAGGCTGACCCACCTACAACCCACTTGCCTGCATGGGGGTGCTCTCTGCCGACAAGGCGGTGAACCCCACGATGTCACTGAAGTAAATGGTGACACTGTCAAAGGCTTCCGCTTCCACCGTCTCCCCTCGTTTCAACTGCTCGGCCACCGAGCTGAAAGGAAAGGCAAGCAAAGAGAGGTATGTATTTGGGCCATATGTCCACCAGGAGGGTTCAGAGACACCATGCATGGCTTTCTTCTGCAAATTCCACACAAGGAACCCTGGGATGCCTGCAATTTTGGTCCTGGTCCATTGTTGGACCCCTCCAGTCTGTTCAGTTGCTGATCAATTCCTCTGTGTTTGCTGTGTGCCATAGGAAAAGGTAAATAAGGATGAAGGGAGAGACAGGAGGTGGAGCCATGCAAATTCCACACAAGGAACCCTGGGATGCCTGCAATTTTGGTCCTGGTCCATTGTCGGACCCCTCCAGTCTGTTCAATGGCTGATCAATTCCTCTGTGTTTGCTGTGTGCCATAGGAAAGGGTAGGAAAGAGTGAAGGGAGAGGCAGGAGCCGGGTCATGAAAATTCCACACAAGGAACCCTGGGATGCCTGCAATTTTGGTCCGGGTCCATTGTTGGACCCCTCCAGTCTGTTCAGTTGCTGATCATTTCCTGTGTGTTCCGTAGGGAAGGGTGAAGGGAGAGGCAGTGGGTGGGGTCATGAAAATCCTACACAAGGAACCCTGGGATGTCTGCAATGTTGGTCCTGGTCCATTGGTGGACCTTTCCAGTATGTTCAGTTGCTGATCATATCCTTTTGTGTTTTATAGGAAATGGTAGCAAAGGGTGAAGGGAGAGGCAGTGGCCGGAATCAAGCAAATTCCACAAAAGGAACCCTGGGATGCCTGCAATTTTGGTCCTGGTCCATTGTTGGACCCCTCCAGTCTGTTCAGTTGCTGATCATTTCCTCTGTGTGCTGTAGGAAAGGGTGAAGGGAGAGGCAGTGGGCGGGGTCATGCAAATTCCACACAAGGAACCCTGGGATGCCCGAAATTTCGGTCCTTGTCTATTGTTGGACCCCTCTAGTCTGTTCAGTTGCTGATCATATCCTTTGTGTTTTATAGGAAAGGGTAGCAAAGGGTGAAGGGAGAGGCAGTGGCCAGAGTCATGCAAATTCCACACAAGGAACCCTGGGATGCCTGCAATTTTGGTCCTGGTCCATTGTCGGACCCTTCCAGTCTGTTGAGTTTCTGATCATTTCCTCTGTGTGCCGTAGGAAAGGGTGAAGGGAAAGGTAGTAGACGAGGTCATGCAAATTCCACACAAGGAACCCTGGGATGCCTGCCTATGGTGGAGGAAACACGTCAAATCCTGGATGAAATTCTCCCCGAATGAAAGCATTCCTTGGGTGGTTTGTGTTTGGGGAGGACATTGGCAGGGGTTGGGCTACATGTTCATGGCGCTCGCTCTAACCTGCAACATACACACATACACATTTTATTGGACACCAAAGACGGGAAGCCTACTCACTGGGGCAGAATCTGGTAAAGCAGGACCTCTGCCTTGCGCTTCTCCTCCAGGTAGGCCTGCGTCCGTTCCTCCACCAGCTCCTCCAGGTTGTTGGCGTACTGCTCCATGCGCGAGAGCAAGGTGTCCAGGAGGTTGCAGCTGTTGTCCCTGCCGGGCAGACATGCAACCAGTTAAAGACACCCACACAAGAGAGGGATATCCCACGCATTTCAAAGCAAGAGCTGGAGACACACCTGTTGAACTTCCGCAGCATGGACTTGATGTGGTGGAAGTCGGGGCGCTCCTGGGGGTCTTCGGCCCAACAGCGCTGCATTAAGAGGACCACTTCCTCCAGGTTCGGGGGCAAATTGACCGAGGGGCGGAAAGGCGGGCACTCGCCTCTCGTCACGCGGTCAATAATCTCTGAAAGCCATGAAAAAGCAAGAAGAAATGCATGTTGAATCACCTTGTGTGAGGGAAATAAACTGTCAGTTGGAATTTTGTTTCATACCGTAAAGTATGAAACTTTGATTGTCTCCCGGCTGTGGGAGTTTAAGGGGTGCTTTGATTGTCTAACTCCCACAGCCGGTAGACAAAACACCTAGAAGGCCAAAGTTGACCCAGTCCTGAGCTAAACCTGTCAGAACCTTGTGTGAGGGAAATAAACTGTCAGTTGGAATTTTGTTTCATACCGTAAAGTATGAAACTTTGATTGTCTACAGGCTGTGGGAGTTGAAGGGGTGCTTTGATTGTCTAACTCCCACAGCCGGTAGACAAAACACCTAGAGGGCCTGGGCTAAACCTGTCATGACCTTGTGTGAGGGAAATAAACTGTCAGTTGGAATTTTGTTTCATACCGTAAAGTATAAACTTTGATTGTCTACCGGCTGTGGGAGTTGAAGGGGTGCTTTGATTGTCTAACTCCCACAGCCGGTAGACAAAACACCTAGAGGGCCAAAGTTGATCCAGTCCTGAGATAAACCTGTCATGACCTTGTGTGAGGGAAATAAACTGTCAGTTGGAATTTTGTTTCATACCGTAAAGTATGAAACTTTGATTTTCTACTGGCTGTGGGAGTTGAAGGGGTGCTTTGATTGTCTAACTCCCACAGCCGGTAGACAAAACACCTAGAGGGCCTGGGCTAAACCTGTCATGAACTTGTGTGAGGGAAATAAACTGTCAGTTGGAACTTTGTTTCATACCGTAATGTATGCTTTCAGAAAAATAAAGCCTTTCCACTTTGTTCGTGAGGTAATTTCTTCATCGGAAATCTACAGATCCGGACAAAACCCTTCTTATTCATCTTTAGGATGTAGACCTGGTCTAGTTGCCAATCAATTGGGAAACATTTACTTCACTTTTGTTGTGATTGTTGTTGTTCTCTCCGCTTGCTTCTCACCTTTGGGGCTCAGATCCATGCCTTCCACATAGAAGACGCTGTTCCGCAAGGCAATTTCTTGCAAGATGACACCAAAGCTGTAGACATCACCTTTCTGGGTCCCCGCCGGGGGAGGCGCCGCCATGCGCAGGAGCTCGGGAGCCATCCATAGTTTCTCTATGGAAGATCGAAAACCTATATATTAGGCCTGTGCAAAACCAACAATGACCAGTAAAGACCAAACTTGGCACACAGAGCCCCCATGACCCACTCTCCATCCTGGTGCAGTTTGGAGGAGGATGGACCACAGATGATGGGACACGCAGTACCTTCACTAACTTCCTGAGACCACTGCGACCCATATAAATAACTGATAAAGACCAACCTTGATAAACAATTCCATTCTCAAATAACCCTGGCAGTGCCAGGTCCCCAAGCTAGTAAATAAATAAAACTACTTCCAAAGTCATGACTGCACCATTAAGTAGGAAATGATACTTTCAAACCAGGAACAGAAAACATTTTCAAATTTTGTTACACAACATAGTCAGGACGGGCGACTTTTCCGTCCCCCCCGCTCCCCATCGCTCTCACTGGCAAAAAGGGCGTGGGAGTCCTCCGTCTCGGTGCCCTGGCGGAAGCTGGACAGTCCGTAGTCAGTGATCTTCAGGACAAAGCGGCTGTCCACCACGCAGTTGGAGGACTTCAGGTTGCCGTGTGAGGAGATGGCGCTGTTGTGGAGGAAGAGCATGCCCTGGACCAAGGAGAGAGTCCGTGTTGGAAACAGCAACCTTCTTCAACCCTCCACAATTTATGTAAATAATTCAGATTGCTTACTATATTGTATATGAGTGTATTGGTATGCAGTTTTCCTTAAGTCTATTTTGTGGTAGGGGCTGCAGATCATGTGATCAGAACTGGGACTGTTGAGGACTCAGACTCCATTTTAGAAAGGCAGAAGACATTAGAGAGATGCTTTGAACTTTGGATTGTTGATTATGAGTGTCTCTGTGTTATCTGCACAGAGAAACTACGTCAAATCCTGTCGGTAATTGATTGACAAGCGATATACCTGTATGCTGTATACATGAAGGTTGTTGAGTAAACCCACTATGTTATTTTAACGAATACTACTTTATTTTTGGTCTCTTGAGAGAATGAATTAAGGGAGATGAGATAGTTCTTGGGCAACTGAACACTTCTGAAACTCTGCTCTGTGTGTGTGTTTTAGCATTGGCATACCTTTGGTCCTGATAGTTCAAAGAGATATCTAGACATAGTCCTTATTGGGGAGATGGTGGTGGGGTATTAAATAAAGCTTTTTATTATTATTATATCAGTTTAACAGCTGAGAAACCTAGTATGAATACTTGATTGACAGTCAATATACCTGTATGCTGGATACATGAAGGTTGTTGAGTAAACCCACTATGTTATTTCAACGAATGCTACTTCATTTTTGGTCTCTTGAGAGCATGATTTAAACGAATCCCCTTTGGGCTACTCAATGCTCCTCAAGCTTGTTGATGGGTCTCCGATGGCACCTAACCATCGCAACGACCTTGCAAGGCGGTTCAGGGAAAACGAGAAGCAGCCCAAAGCTCTCTACTTGGGATCAAAGGGAACTCCTGCTTCTGGCGCTATTTTTTTCCAAATTACCTTGACAATATCACTGGTGAGCGAATAGCGGAAGGTCCAATCCAAGGTGATGTTGTCGTTCTCCAAGATATCCTGAAAAATAAAGGAAGAGGAGGCTTCAAACCCAGGACTTCCAAACTGCCTGAACATCCATAGCCCAGCATGCAAAGCCATACAGGGCTCGGACAGGTAGAAGGTAGTAGGGAACGAGGGAGAAAGCTATCCAAACATAAGCCGTTCATCTCCATGGAATGCAGCTTGGAACCCAATGGCGTCCTTATTTTTTCACTACTCTATATTTACAATATTGCTTAGGCATCAGAGGGGCCGCTGCCCATCTACTTTAATCTCTTCCTTTCCTTCCCTCCACTTATACATTTCCCTCTTTCATTTCTCTTTCTTCCTTCGCTTCTTTTTCTTTCTTCCCCATTCATCTCTTCCGTCCCTCTCCCTTCCCTCTCCCTTCCCTTCCCTTCCCTTCCCTTCCCTTCCCTTCCCTTCCCTTCCCTTCCCTTCCCTTCCCTTCCCTTCCCTTCCCTTCCCTTCCCTTCTTTCTCTCTCAATCTTGGTCATGTCCTACCTTCCTGTTTTCCTTCCTTCCTTCCCTCTTTCATTCTTTCCATCCATCCTTTCCCTTTTCTTCCTTCCATCCATCCTCCAGCCATCCATCTTCCTTCCTTCCTTCCTCCCTCCTTCCCTCCCTCCCTCTACCTTCCTTATATCCAATTTCCTTCCATCCATCTTTCTTCCTTCCTCCCTTCCTTCCTTCCTTCCTTCCTTCCTTCCTTTTTTTTTTCTTCCTCCCTTTTCCTTCCTTTCCCTTTCTCTCTCTCTTGCTCCTTCCATCCAAACTTCCTATTTCTCGTCCCTTCCTTCCTTCCTTTGTTCCTTCCTTCCTTCCATCCATCCACCCACCTCCTTTCTCTCCTTCTTCCTTCCTTCCTTCCTTCCTTCCTTCCTTCCTTCCTTCCTTCCCCTTTTCTCTCTCTCTTGCTCCTTCCTTCCTTCTTTCCATCCAAACTTTTCTCTTCCTTCCTTCCATCCACCCACCCCTCCCTCCTTCTCCCCCGTTTCTTTCCTTCCTTCCTTCCTTCCTTCCTTCCTTCCTTCCTTCCTTCCTTCTCTTCCTTCCTCTTTTCTCTCTCTCTTGCTCCTTCCTTCCTTCTTTCCATCCAAACTTTTCTCTTCCTTCCTTCCATCCACCCACCCCTCCCTCCTTCTCCCCCTTTCTTTCCTTCCTTCCTTCCTTCCTTCCTTCCTTCCTTCCTTCCTTCCTTCCTTCCTTTCTTCTTTCCTTCCTTCCTTCCCTCTTCCATCCATCCAACTTTCTTTCATCTTCCTTCCTTCCTTCCTTCCTTCCTTCCTTCCTTCCTTCCTTCCTTCCTTCCTTCCTTCCTTCCTTCCTTCCTTCTCCCTTCTTTTATTCCTTCCTTTCTTCCATTCTTCCTTCCAGTTATCTATCCATCCTTCCTTCTCCCTTCTTTCTTTCTTTCCTTCCTTCCTTCCTTCCTGTGTGTCATCTATCCATCCTTCCTTCTCCTTTCTTTCTTTCTTTTTCTTTCTTTCTTTCTTTCTTTCTTTCTTTCTTTCTTTCTTTCTTTCTTCCCTTCCTTCCTTCCTTCCTTCCTGTGTGTCATCTATCCATCCTTCCTTCTCCTTTCTTTCTTTCTTTCTTTCCTTCCTTCCTTCCTGTTATCTATCCATGCTTCCTTCTCCCTTCTTTCTTTCTTTCTTCCCTTCCTTCCTTCCTGTGTGTCATCTATCCATCCTTCCTTCTCCTTTCTTTCTTTCTTTCTTTCTTTCTTTCTTTCTTTCTTTCTTTCTTTCCTTCCTTCCTTCCTTCCTTCCTTCCTTCCTTCCTTCCTTCCTTCCTTCCTTCCTTCCTGTTATCTATCCATGCTTCCTTCTCCCTTCTTTCTTTCCTTCCTTCCTTCCCATCCTTCTTCCTTCCTTCCTTCCTGTCACCTAACAACAGCCAATCTGCTTCACTCCCTTTCTTCTGCAGAGGGCCACTTCACCCTCGCCACTGCCCATCTGCTTCATTTCTTCTCTTCCGCCTGCTCTGCTCCCGAAAGAAGTCTTTCCTTCCATCCAAACCCCTCTTCTTTTAAGTTGGACCCGGAAGGGCTTTGTGTGCCACGTTTGGTTCGGATCGATCCAGCCACAGAGGCGCCTTTGGGGCACAAACCAACGTACACACTTGGGCGTTTCCACCCTTCCAAATGCAAAACGTGGGGGAGGCCACCCTTGTCCACGGGTGGCCTTTCCCTCCCTGCTGACCCTCTCCCTTTCCCTCCCCGCCAGAGGAAATGCTTCTCTCCGGGAGGGAGGCAGCCAGGAATCTCACCTTGGCCTGCCTCGGCCCATCCATCATCCCTCCTTGGACAGGAAGGGCGGCCGTTGCGGCCATTGCCTTGCCTTTTAATTAAAGCAACAACAACAACACAAGAGACCCGCCCGCCCACGCCTTGGCCTTGAACACGGCACAACACGACACAACACAGAGAGAGTTGACTATTCCCAACAGCCAAACACGGTTGGCTTAAGGCAGAGATCACTCAACAAAGACAGCAAAGCGTTGCTGCACTTTGGCTCCAAAGCCTGCCTTTCCCATCTCCCAGAAGCATTCTCTCCTGACGTTTCGCCTGCATCTCTTACACCTCCCAACAAAGGATTCCCCCCCAGGTAGAAACCAGCCAGGCTTTGAAGCTGCAAGGACTGTTGATCAAGCTGGCCGATGGCAATATTCCCATTTGCCTCCAACAGTCAAGGATTTTTCCCCCACTCTGGACATCATTGCACCTCCCAACAAAGGATTCCCACCAAAGAAGAAACCAGCAAGGCTTTGAAGTTACAAGGCTATTTGATGCTAATCAAGCTGGTCAATGGCAATAGACAAGGGTTCTTTCTCCCACTCTGGACATCATTCCACCTCCCAACAAAGGATTACCTCCAGGTGGCAATCCCCCCAAGCATCAACCAGCCAGGCTTTAAAGCTGCAAGGCCATTTGATGCCAATCAAGCTGGCCAATGGCAACAGACAAGAGTTCTTTCTCCCACTCTGGACATTATTCCGCCTCCCAACAAAGGATTTCTCCAGGAAGCAACCAGCCAGGCTTTGAAGCTGCAAGGCCATTCAATGCTAATCAAGCTGGCCAATGGCAAAACATTGCCGCCAGCAGTCAAGGATTCTTTCCCCCACTCTGGATATCATTCCACCTTCCAACAAAGGACTCCCCCTAAGCGGCAACCACTTGACTCCAACAGACAAGTGTTCTTTCTCCCACTCTGGACATCATTCCACCTTCCAACAAAGGATTCCCCCCCCCCCCAGGAAGCAACCAGCCAGGCTTTGAAGCTGCAAGGCCACTGGATTCTAATCAAGCTGGTCAATTGCAACATTCCCACTCTCCTCCAAAAGAAAAAAGTTATTTCTCCCACCATGGACATCTTTCTGCCTCCCAACAAAGGATTCCCCCCAAGAAGCAACCAGCCAGGCTTTAAAGCTGCAAGGCCATTCGATGCTAATCAAGCTGGCCAATGGAAACATTCCCATTTTCCTCCAACAGACAAGAGTCCTTTGTCCCACCCTGGTCATTCCACAGATATATAAACCCCATTTTCCTAGTTTCCAACAGACCTCGCAACCTCTGAGGATGCCTGCTATAGATGCAGGTGAAACGTCAGGAGAGAATGCTTCTGGAACATGGCCATAGCCACCCCTTTCTCCCTGCCAGAGATACCTGGAGGCTCCCCCGGGTGCAATATTCGGTCAGGATACAGATGTTTGGGGCGTCGATGCAGGCCCCAATGAAGCGGGTCAAGTGCTTGCTTTGGACGTCTCGCATCTGGAAAAAGGGGAAGAAAATGGGGAAAGGGGTTGGACTGGATGGCCTTTGGGGGGACCTTTTGCACCACGATGCTTGGGGAGAACCAATTAGGAATATATATATATATATATATATATATATATATATATATATATACTGTATTTATATTTTGCCCTGATGCTATTTATCACCTAGGCACAATATAATATAATATAATATAATATAATATAATATAATATAATATAATATAATATAATATAATATAATAATCAGAATAATACTATAATCAGAATAATAATAATAATAATAATGCTTTATTTATATTCCACCCTAATTATATTTATCACCCAGGAACACAAATAATGTCATACAAAATGATCTCAACTATATATAATTATACTATAATATAATATATAATAATAATATAATATAATATAATATATAATAATAATAATAATAATAGTAATGCTTTATTTATATTCCACCCTAATTATATTTATCAACTAGGAACAAAAATAATGTCGTACAGAATTATCTCAACTTTATATAATTATACCATAATATAATATATAATAATATAATATATAATCAGAATAATACTATAATAATAATAATAAATTATAATGCTTTATTTATATTCCACCCTAATTATATTTCTCACCCAGGAACAAAAATAATGTCGTACAGAATTATCTCAACTATATATAATCATACTATAATATAATATATAATAATAATAATAATATAACATAATATATAATCAGAATAATACTATAATAATAATAATAATAATGCTTTATTTATATTCCACCCTAACTATATTTCTCACCCAGGAACACAAATAATGTCATACAGAATTATCTCAAGTATATATAATTATACCATAATATAATATATAATAATATAATATAATAGATAATCAAAATAATAATAATAATAATAATAATGCTTTATTTCTATTCCACCCTAATGATATTTATCACCGAGGCACAAAAATAATGTTGTGTAGTATTATCTCAGCTTGCGGCTACCTAAATGGCAGGAGGGGGTTGGACTAGATAGCCTTTGGAGGGCCCTTTTTGTGCCACGACGCCAAGGGGTTAAATACCCGCCAGTACCTTTCCCTCGCCAGGTGAGCGGCCTCTCCCATGTTGATTTCCTTCCTGGCAAGGTGCGCTCACCGGGAGCCGGCTAATTAAAAGGGGAGCAGATGGCCACCTCCCTGCCGCGTCCTCGCTAATGAGCCATTAGTAGCCCCTTTGCGCCTCTCTCTGCTCCTCTCCTTCCTCTCCGAGGCTCATCAAACCTCTCTGCGGAGAGGGCCCTCCTGCCGGCACCCCATTAATCCTGTCCCTTCTCGCCCTCTCTTCCTCCAAACCTAGCGCAGGGATTTCGGGCCAAAATGTGCCCAGATAGGTCAGAAAGTAGGAACCTATTATTCTTCTTCTTATTATTAATTGGTTCGCCTTGTTTCGGAAGGTGTGTTGCACGGTTGGACACTTACGTGTTTCAGCTCGAAAAGCACGTTCCGTGCCAAATCGATGCGCTTCCGGCTCACGTGTTTGATGGCCACAAGGTTGCCCTGCAATACAAGACAGGACAAAAGAGGGGTCAGTTGAGTTGGGGCCAAAAAGATGGACATGCACGACCGACCCAAGACATTGCACCGCCTGAAGCAAAGGACCAACTATATTTCCCTCCACCAAAGGCATCCCAGTGTTCCTTTCTCTCTCTTTCCCTGCCCCATGTCCCCCACAAACATCACACTGCCCACCGTCCACGGGGATGATTCCACCCTAGATTTCATGTATTTCCTCCACCACAGGCATCCCAGTGTTCCTTTCTCTCTCTTTCCCTGCCCCATGTCCTCCACAAACACCACACTGCCCACCACCTATGGGGACGATTCCACCCTAGATTTCATGTGTTTCCTCCACCATGGTCATCCCAGTATTCCTTTCTCTCTCCTTCCCTACCAATGTCCTCCACAAACACCACACTGCCCACTACCCATGGGGACAATTCCACCCTAGATTTCATGCATTTCCTCCATCACAGGCACCCCAGTGTTCCTTTCTCTCTCTTTCCCTGCCTATGCCCTCCACCAACACCACACTACCCACCACCCAAGAGAAGGATTTCATATGGGGACGATTCTACCCTAGATTTCATGCGTTTTCTCCACCACGGGCATCCCAGTGTTCTTTTCTCTCTTTTTCCCTGCCAATGTCCTCCACAAACACCACAAAGCCCACCACCCAAGTGAAGGCTTTCATACGGGGACGATTCCACCCTAGATTTCATGTTTCCTCCACAACAGGCATCCCAGGGTTCCTTTCTCTCTCTTTCCCTACCAATGTCCTCCACAAACACCATACTGCCTAGCACTCATGGGGACCATTCCATCCTAGATTTCATGCGTTTCCTCCACCACGAGCATCCCAGTGTTCCTTTCTCTCTCTTTCCCTGCCCCATGTCCTCCACCAACATCACATTGGCCACCACCCATGGGGACGATTCCATCCTAGATTTCATGCGTTTCCTCCACCACGGGCATCCCAGTATTCCTTTCTCTCTCTTTCCCTGCCAATGTCCTCCACAAACACCGCACTGGCCACCACCCAAGTGAAGGCTTTCATGCGGGGACCATTCCATCCTAGATTTCATGCATTTTCTCCACCACAGGCATCCCAGTGTTCCTTTCTCTCTCTTTCCCTGCCCCATGTCCTCCACAAACATCACACTGGCCACCACCCATGGGGATGATTCCACCCTAGATTTCATGTGTTTCCTCCACCATGGGCATCCCAGTGTTCCTTTCTCTCTCTTTCCCTGCCAATGTCCTCCACCAACACCACACTGCCCACCACCCAAGTGAAGGCTTTCATACAGGGACAATTCCATCCTAGATTTCATGTGTTTCCTCCACCACAGGCATCCCAGTGTTCCTTTCTCTCTCTTTCCCTGCCAATGTCCTCCATCAATACCACACTGTCCACCACCCAAGGGAATGGTTTCATACGGGGATGATTCCACCCTAGATTTTATGTGTTTCCTCCACCGCTGGCATCCCAGTGTTACTTTCTCTCTTTTTCCCTGCCAATGTCCTCCACAAACATCACACAGCCCACCACACAAGTGAAGGCTTTCATACGGGGATGATTCCATCCTAGATTTCATGTGCTTCCTCCACCGCTGGCATCCCAGTGTTCCTTTCTCTCTTTCCCTGCCTATGCCCTCCACCAACACCACACTACCCACCACCCAAGAGAAGGCTTTCATATGGGGACGATTCTACCCTAGATTTCATGCGTTTTCTCCACCACGGGCATCCCAGTGTTCCTTTCTCTCTTTTTTCCTGCCAATGTCCTCCACAAACACCACACTGCCCATCACCCACGGGGACGATTCCACCCTAGATTTCATGCGTTTCCTCCACCACGGGCATCCCAGTGTTCCTTTCTCTCTCTTCCTCTGCCAATGTCCTCCATCAATACCACACTGCCCACCACCCAAGTGAAGGTTTTCATGCAGAGACAATTCCATCCTAAATTTCATGTGTTTCCTCCACCACAGGCATCCCAGTGTTCCTTTCTCTCTCTTTCCCTGCCAATGTCCTCCACAAACACCACACTGCCCACCACTCACGGGGATGATTCCATCCTAGATTTCATGCGTTTCCTCCACCACAGGCATCCCAGTGTTCCTTTCTCTCTCTTTCCCTGCCAATGTCCTCCAACACTACACTGCCCACTCTCCAAGTGAAGGCTTTCATGTGGGGACAATTCCACCCTAGATTTCATGTGTTTCCTCCACCACGGGCATCCCAGTGTTCCTTTCTCTCTCTTTCCCTACCAATGTCCTCCACAAACTCCACACTGCCCACCACCCACAGGGATGATTCCACCCAAATTTCATGTGTTTCCTTCACCATGGGCATCCCAGTGTTCCCTTCTCCTTCTTTCCCTGCCAATGTCCTCCACAAACACCACACTGCCCACCATCCACGGGGACGATTCCACCCTAGATTTCATGTGTTTCCTCCACCACAGGCATCCCAGTGTTCTTTTTTCTCTCTTTCCCTGCCAATGTCCTCCACAAACACCACACTGCCCACCACGCACGGGGACGATTCCACCCTAGATTCCATGCATTTCCTCCACCAGAGGCATCCCAGTGTTCCTTTCTCTCTCTTTCTCTTCCCCAAGTCCTCCACCAACACCACACTGCCCACCACCCAAGTGAAGGCTTTCCTACGGGGACGATTCCAACTTAAATTTCATGTTTCCCCCACCACAGGCATCCCAGTGTTCCTTTGTCTGACTTTCCCTCCACCAACACCACACTACCCACCACCCACGGAGACGATTCCACAGTAGATTTCATGTGTTTCCTCCACCACAGGCATCCCAGTGTTCCTTTCTCTCTCTTTCCCTGCCCCAAGTCCTCCACCAACACCACACTGCCCATCACCCAAGAGAAGGCTTTCAAGTTTGGTACGATTCCATCCTAGATTCCATCCTGTGTTTCCTCCAACACGGGCATCCCAGTGTTCCATTCTCTCTCTTTCCCTGCCAATGTCAGGGACTCACTTTGTAATATGCCGTCTTGGCGTAAACCTGGAGCTGTCCCTCGGTGGTGAGCAGTGAGCCGTAGTTGGATCCCCTCTGCAGAAAGACAGAACGCAAAGAGGATAGACGCCTAGATATCTCAGTCTGTCAATGCCAAGGGAGAGGGAAAGGAACCCGAGGCTCACCAGGGAGAGGGTCAGCTTGCTGCCCATGCTGCGCAGGTGCTTCTCCAAGTTGCTGGACTGGACGTCCTCCCAGTGGACGCGCCACAGCTCCGACGCCAGCTCCTTCTCCAGCTTCATTCTCCTGCAGGGCAAGCGTATATATATATATATATATATATATATACACACACACACACACACATACACACGACTCTCTCTCTATATATATATGTTTATCTGTAATGTATGTGTGTATATATATTCTTGACCTTGCGTGTGTGTGTGTGTGTATGTATGTGTGTGTGTGTGTGTATATATATATATATATATACATATATATATATACACACACACACACACACATATATACACACATACACTCACACACTCATGACTCTCTCTCTCTCTATGTTTATCTGTAATGTATGTGTATATATATATATATACTCTTGACTTCACACACACATATCTATACACACAGGTATGTATATGTATATGTATACATATTTGTGCCTATATGTGTGTGTATACACACTCATACCTACATATATATGTGTGTATATAGTCATGCTATGTGTGTATATTCATACTGGATATATATACACACACACATATATAAATGGTTCTATGTGTGTGTGTGTGTGTGTTCAGCTATATGTATATATTCATGCCTACATATCTATGTATATGTATGTGTGTGTGTATTGACTACACACACATATCTATACACACAGGAATGTATATGTATGTGTATACATATTTGTGCCTATATGTGTGTATATATACACACTCATACCTACATATATATGTGTGTATGTAGTCATGCCTGTAAATGTGTATATGTATGTATTCATACCTGCTATACATATATATGTGTGTGTGTGTTTGTATGTTCATCTATATGTATATATTCATATATATTCATATGTATGTGTGTATATATATTCATGTATATGTATATATTCATGCCTACATATGTATGTATATGTGAATGTCTCTCTGTGTGTGTGCATATATATATGTGTGTGTGTGTGTATTCATGCCTACATATGTATGTATATGTGTATGTCTGTGTGTGTGCATATATATATATATATATATATATAGATACATATGTATTCATGCCTACATATGTATGTATATGTATGTGTGATATATATGCTTACACATACACATATATATATACCATATATACACACACATATATATGCCATATATAAGCATTTCTGTGTGTATATCACACACAGCATTAATGCATAATTTATGCAACTATTTTGCTATATGTGTGCATATACACACACTCGTACCTACATATATGTGTTTGTATATACATATATTCATGCCTATATGTAAATATATTCGTAGCTAATATATATGTGTGTGTTTTGCCTATATATATCTATATCTATATATATCTCTATATCTATATGGGAAGAAAGGTAAAGTAAATAATAATAATAATAATAATAATAATAATAGTGGTAATCTCGATCAACAAATGCATTAAGAGAGGACCCAATGGTCTACCTAGAAGAGCTGTCGTTGGCCCCACTGTGCTTTACCTGCAAACTCACCTGTAGACCTGTGAAAGTGACCTGCGAACTCACCTGTAGACGAAGAAGGCCGCCATGATGGCCATGGCGAGGAGGAGGGTCATGGCCAGGGACAGGATCTCCAGCAAGGAGAAGGAGGCTGCGGCAACCAAAAAGAGCATGAGGGCTACACGTCAATCCATGAGTTGGGTTTGCCCTTCCCGCTCATACAGGTAAGAACACCTGGTGGCCACCCTCCATAACCGGTACCTTTTTGACAGGCGGGATTTTCGTTTTCAAACCCGCAGAAGGGCACATCTTTGGGGATGGCGTTTCCTGGCCAGTGGATCTCCTTTCCGGCAACCATCTCAATCTCCTTGGTGGTCCCGTTGAAATTGGCAACAATCTACGAAAAAGAAAGGAACAGAGATGGAGGGATAGTAGACGACATACGATTCAATACATAGAGAACATACTATTCGATATGTAGACAACATACTATCTGATACGTAGACAACATACTATTCCATATGTAGACGACATACTATCTGATACGTAGACGACATACTATTCAATATGTAAACAATATACTATCTGATACGTAGACGACATACTATTTGATATGTAAACAATATACTATCTGATACGTAGACGACATACTATTCGATATGTAGATAACATACTATCTGATACGTAGACATACTATTCCATATGTAGACGACATACTATCTGATACGTAGACGACATACTATTCGATATGTAAACAATATACTATCTGATACGTAGACGACATACTATTTGATATGTAAACGACATACTATCTGATACATAGATGACATACTATTCGATATGTAAACGACATACTATTTGATACGTAGACGACATACTATTCGATATGTAAACAACATACTATCTGATACGTAGACGACATACTATTCGATATGTAGATAACATATCTGATAAGTAGACGACATACTATTTGATATGTAAACGACATACTATCTGATATGTAGACGACATACTATTTGATATGTAAACAACATGCTATCTGATACATAGAGGACGTACTATTCGATATGGAAACGACATACTACCTGATATGTAGACGACATACTATTTGATATGTAGACGACATACTATCTGATACGTTGACAACATACTATTCGATATGTAAATGACATACTATCTGATACGTAGACGACATACTATTCGATATGTAAACGACATACTGTCTGATATGTAGACGGCATACTATTCGATATGTAGACGACATACTTTTTGATACATAGATATACTATTCGATAAGTAGATGACATACTATTTGATACGTAGAATACATACTATTCGATATGTAGATGACATACTATTTGATACATAGACGACATACTATTCGATATGTAGATGACATACTGTTTGATACGTAGATGACATACTATTGATATGTAGACAATGTACTATTTGATACATACGTACATATTATTCAATAAGTATATGACATAATATTTGATACATAGATGACATACGATTCGATATGTAGATGGCCTACTATTTGATACATACACGACATACTATCTGGTAAGTAGATAACATACTATTTGATATGTAGATGACATACTATTTGATATGTAGATGACATACTATTCAATAAGTAGATGGCATACTATTCAATAAGTAAATGACATACTATTCGATATGTAGACAACATACTATTTGATAAGTAGACCACATACTATTTGATAGACATACTATTCAATACGTAGATGACATACTATTCAAAATGTAGATTCAATACGTACCATTCAATACGTACACAATATACTATTTGTTATGTTGATGACACTATTCGATAAATAGACAACATACTGTATTGATAAGTCAACATACTATTCAATGCGTAGACGACATACTATTTGATACTTAGACGACATACTATTCAAAATGTAGATGATATACCATTCAATACATATACAACATACTATTTATTATGTAGATGACACTATTCGATAAATAGACGACATACTATTCAATTAGACGATGTACTATTCAATATGTAGAAGGGATACTATTCTATATGTAGATGACATACTATTTGTCCTCTACACTGACTGGAAAACAGTGTAGAGGGCAAATGGTATGTCATCTACATATAGAATAGTATGTATAATAGTATACTTTTTTTTTGCACCGAAGTGCCCACATTTTTGCCCTTGCTGGACCGGGGGGACATCCTGAAATGAGTTCTCTTTCTCCTCCTTTCTCCCCAACGACCACCCTGCGAGGTTGACCACGTGAAGAGAGGGAATGATTGGACTTCCTGAAGGTCTTTTCCCCCCACCACTAACCTCAAATTCCCCAGATGTGGGGTCCATATCCCAGAGCGAATAGTCCATTTCCCGGTCGCCGTTTGGGTCGATCCTCATGTACCCCGTGATCCCTGCGGAGAGGAGATACCGTATCACTACGCAACACGAGTTACAAATGCCATTTTCTAATTGGTTCTACCACCACAACATGGGGAAAGTGTATTAAGATGTGGTGCAAAAGGGAGGCACTGACCGTAGAAAGTGCGGTTCCACATGCGGCGGGTGATGGACGTGGCATTGGCAATGGAGCCTTCCAGCGCCAACGTCTCGTTCGCGGCATGGGCGTAGAGCAGCACTCCGTCATGGAAGGCGGCGGCAATGAAGTTTTTCTGGAAACATCAATGCAGATTGGTGTTGCTTTAATTGACATGCCTGAATGCAACACAATCCTGGGAGTTGTAGTTTCCTGTAGCAAAATTGCTACTCTATGTTAATTTTTTGGTGTATAGCTCTATGTTTACATATAGCAGATAGGGAAGAATAGGCACAGACAGGGTAGCAACAGCAGAGATAGGATTCATTTGCATATGGAAGCCGATTGGTCCTATGCAGATTAGCGTAGGCCCAGGATTTGAAAAGGCTGCTAGGCCAAAATGACAGTTGGAAAGAGCAGAACTAAACATTCCAAAGGGGTGGAGCCAAAGTTTAAAAATAGGCAGTTAGAGAATCAAAAGAGTGAGTTGGGAATTGCTGTTTGTGAGATGAGTTAGGGATTCCTGTTTGTGAGAGACAGTTAGGAACATCTGTGAGAGAAAAGAGTTAGGAACTCCTGTTAGAAATAAGCAATTATGAAGATGTGTTAAAGACTTCTGATATATAGAAGCAGTTAGTTAAATAGAGCTCAATTTTTAGGAACATAAAGAAAGCCAGTGGTGCTTTAGTCAAAATATAATTTCAGTCAAGAGTGTGTAAAGCAAGTAACATGTTTGTGAATGTGAAACATTGAAAGTCTATTTCAGAAAAGTAAACCAAGTATATGAAACTGACTGTAAGCCTCAGGATTGCAACAAAACACAAATGTAACCACAAGCGTTGGAGCCAGAAGTTATAAATAAACTGTGTTACTTTGTTATACAGAAGTGTGTCTCAGTGCCTGTACAAAAGTTAAACAGCACACAGAAAGTCCCAGCCAAGATAAAAGAAGAAACTGAATCATTATAAGAATAAAGAGGTTTCTCTTAAATAAAGAAATGGTCTCTCTCCCTCGTCACACCATCCCTGCTGTAGAGTGTTATTGCGTCCCAGGATCCCGTAGCATCGAGGCCGTGAAAATGAGATGAAACTGCAATAATTTTGCAGTGCGGATGCAGCTAACCACCCTAAACTGGCAGGGGGGACTTCTGGGAGTTGTAGTCCTAAATGGTATTTGTGTTTTCCTCCCCAAATACAAACAGAAGCGAATAATATTTGCACACTACAATTTGGAGAATGCAAGCTCAGCGGGTTTGTTTGTAACGTGGTCGTACAATGGAAGTAAACTTGGAGACCACATGCTGCCCAGGGATGAAAGGAAAGAGAGAAGGAAGGAAGGAAGGAAGGAAGGAAGGAAGGAAGGAAGGAAGGAAGGAAGGAAGGAAGGAAGGAGGGAGGGTGGGAAGAAGAGAGGGATGGATGGATGGATGGATGGATGGATGGATGGAAGGAAGGAAGGAAGGAAGGAAGAGAGGAAGGACAAAAGGGAGGGCAGGTAGAATGGAAGGAGAAAGATGGAAGGAGGAAGGAAAAGACAAAAGGGAAGGAAGGAAGGAAAGGATAAAAGAAAGAGAGAAGGAAGAGAAGACAAAAGAGAGGGAAGGATGGAAAGAGAAAAGGGTTGAAGGGAAGGAGGAAAGAGGGAAGGAAGAAAGAGAGGGAGGAAGGGAAGAAGAGAGGGATGGAAGGAAGGAAGGAAGGAGGAAGGAAGGAAGGAAGGAAGGAAGGAAGGAAGGAAGGAAGGAGAAAAGGAGAAGGGGGGGAAGAAGGAGGAAAAGGAAAGAAGGAAAGGAGGAGGGAGGGAGGGAGGGAGGAAAGGACATAGAAAGGGAAGGAAAGAAAGAAAGGAGGGAATAAGGAAGGAACGACTGAAAGGGGAAGGAAGGAAGGTAAGAGAGAAGGAGAGAGGGAAGAAGAAAGGAATGACTGAAAGGAGAAGGAAGGAAGGAAGGAAGAAGAGGGAGGGAAGAAGGAAGGAATGACTGACTGAAAGTTGAAGGAAGGAAGGTAAGGAAGAAGAGGGAAGAAGGAAGGAATGACTGAAAGGGGAAGGAAGGAAGTAAGAAAGTGAGGGAGGGAAGAGGGAAGGAATGACTGACTGAAAGGAGAAGGAAGGAAGGAAGGTAAGAAAGAAGGAGGGAGGAAAGAGAAGGAAGGAAAAAAGGGGAAAGGAGAGAGAGGAGGGAGGAAGAAGGAAAGAGAGAAGAGAGGAAAGACAAAAGGGTTGGAAGGGAAGGAAGGGAAGAGAGAAGGAAGGAAGGACAAAACGGAAGGAAGGGAAGGAAGGAAAGAAGGGAAAAGAGAAGGAAGGAGGGACAAAGGGGAAGGAAAGGAAGGAAGGAAAGAAGGGACGAGAGAGGGAAGGAAAGACAAAAGGGAAGGAAGGGAAGGAAGGAAGGAAGGAAGGAAAGAAGGGAAAAGAGAAGGAAGGTGGGACAAAGGGGAAGGAAAGGAAGGAAGGAAAGAAGGGAAGAGAGAAAGAGGGAAGGAACTCCAGATCCAGACTCACGCCCTTTACTGCTTTGCATCTCAATTGCAATAATAATAATAATAATAATAATAATAATAATAATAATAATACTACCAGCCCGTCTTCCATGGTGAAGTTGTGTTGCGCCCGAGCGTCCCGCTTGATTTCCTCCAAAAAGGGCTGGTACTCGGGATTCGTCGGCTCCGAATATGTGATGATCATCACCGCCTGCAAAAGGTGAGGAGCAAAGTCACAGCCAGGCTACCTCTATGCAAAGACCCTCACTGATTGACTTTGCAGCTTTGTTGCTTGTTGCATCATTCAAACTTGCTTCAAACAGGCAAGGGGTTCTTTCTCCCACCCTGGGCATCATTCCACAGAGGGTGCCTCCAGGCAACAACAGCCAGGCCACCTCTATGCAAATATCCTCACTGATTGACTTTGCAGCTTCGTTGCTCATTGCAACATGGCAAGGGTTCTTTGCTATGAACAGGCAAGGGTTCTTTCTCCCACCCTGGGCATCATTCCACAGAGGGTGCCTCCAGGCAACAACAGCCAGGCCACTACTATGCAAAGACCCTCACTGATTGACGTTGCAGCTTCGTTGCTCATTGCAACATTCACACTTCCTTCAAACAGGCAAGGGTTCTTTCCCAGAACCCTGGGCATTATTCCACAGAGGGTGCCTCCAGGCAACAACAGCCAGGCCACCTCTATGCCAATACCCTCACTGATTGACTTTGCAGCTTCGTTGCTCATTGCAGCATTCACACTTGCTTCAAACAGGCAAGGGGTTCTTTCTCCCACCTTGGGCATCATTCCACAGAGGGTGATTCCAGGCAACAACAGCCAGGCCACCTCTATGCAGAGACCCTCACTGATTGACTTTGAAGCATTGTTGCTCATTGCAACATTCACACTTGCTTCAAACAGGCAAGGGGTTCGTTCTCCCACCCTGGGCATCATTCCACAGAGGGTGCCTCCAGGCAACAACAGCCAGGCCACCTCTATGCAGAGACCCTCACTGATTGACTTTGGGAGGTCCCTCCATTACAGACCCAAATACATCCAGCCGCTGGCATCTCAAGGAAGCTCCAAGCCTCCCCCAGCCAGCGTTTTTCCAGCTCCTGGGGTTATTAATAGCTGCAACCAGCCGGCTGCTGGTTCCGGGGAATTATCTCGCTTCCTTCCTTGATGGAGAAAAGCAGATCCAAGCTTCGGCGCACAATGGAAGGATCCACGCCTTCCTTCACTTTCCCCAAACGCCTCTGTCGTAAGAGCCCAGGAATCCCTTTGAATCCAGCCTGGGAGCCTCTGCGTCTTTAGTGCCAGAGCGCAGCCTGTTCAGACCATTGCAGGTTACAGTTTCCTTCACCACAGGCATCCCAGTGTTCCTTTCTCTCTCTTTCTCTGCCAATGCCCTCCACCAACACCACACTGCCCACCACCCAAGAGAAGGCTTTCATGCGGGAACCATTTCATCTTAGATTATATGTGTTTCCTCCACCACAGGCATCCCAGTGTTCCTTTCTCTCTCTTTCCCTTTCAATGTCCTCCACAAACACCACACTCCCCAAACCCCCCCCCCCCCAAGTGCAGGCTTTCATGCGGGGACCATTCCATCTTAGATTTCATGTGTTTCCTCCACTACAGGCATCCCAGTGTTCCTTTCTCTCTCTTTTCCTGCCCCAAGTCCTCCACCAACACCACACTGCCCACCACCTAAGAGAAGGCTTTCATGCGGGGGCAATTCCATCCTAGATTGTGTTTCCTCCACTACAGGCATCCCAGTGTTCCTTTCTCTCTCTTTCCCTGCCAATGTCGTCCACCAACACCACACTACCCACCACCCAAGTGAAGGCTTTCATGCGAGGACAATTACATCCTACATTGTATGTGTTTCCTCTACCGCAGGCATCCCAGGGTTCCTTACTCTCTCCATTGGTGTGGAATTTGCATGACCCGCCACCTTCTGCCTATTCCTACAGATGTGGAGACAATTCCATCCTAGATTGGATGTGTTTCCTCCACCACAGGCATCCCAGGGTTCCTTACTCTCTCCATTGGTGTGGAATTTGCATGACACCTCCCCCCCCCACCTTCTGCCTATTCCTACAGTTGTGGAGACAATTACATCCTACATTGTATGTGTTTCCTCCACCGCAGGCATCCCAGGGTTCCTTACCCTCTCCATTGGTGTGGATTTTGCATGACACCTCCCCCCCGCCGCCTTCTGCCTATTCCTACAAATGTGGAGACAATTACATTCTAGATTGTATGTGTTTCCTCCACCGCAGGCATCCCAGGGTTCCTTACTCTCCATTGGTGTGGTATTTGCATGACCCCCGCCTTCTGCCTATCCCTACATATGTGGAGACAATTACATCCTACACTGTATGTGTTTCCTCCACTGCAGGCACCCCAGGGTTCCTTACTCTCTCTATTGGTGTGGAATTTGCATGACCCCGCCTTCTCTCTATTCCTACAGATGTAGAGACAATTCCATCATAGATTGTATGTGTTTCCGCCACCACAGGCATCCCAGGGTTCCTTACACTCTCCATTGGTGTGGTATTTGCATGACCCCCACCTTCTGCCTATTCCTACAGATGTGGAGTCAATTACATCCTACATTGTATGTGTTTCCTCTACCGCAGGCATCCCAGGGTTCCTTACTCTCTCCATTAGTGTGGAATTTGCATGACACCCCCCCCCCCCAGCCTTCTGCCTATTCCTACAGATGTGGAGTCAATTACATCCTACATTGTATGTGTTTCCTCTACTGCAGGCATCCCAGGATTCCTTACTGTCTCCATCGGTGTGGAATTTGCATGACCCCTGCCTACTGCATATTCCTACGGATGTGACGGACAGACGCATAGAGGCAGGACCAATCTCGACGGCGCTTACCTTGTACGCCTCTCGTGCCGCGGCATCCTCCCCATCTTTGCGCCGCCAGGGAAGCTGCCGGTCGGGGAAGTGGGATGCCTGGAGGCTGGCCCCATAGAGGTCGATGTAGAAGAAGGCGTACTCGCCGGCGGTGAGGCCCTCTCGGTGCGCGTGGAGCATCAGCTTGCGGAACATCTCGGGAGCGCAGCAGACGTAGACGA